TGCATGACTCATAGCCACAATAAAAGGTTTGGTTTGATGACATACGCGCATGTCAACTGGTTCAATGTCGATCTTAAATCTCGAGTTTTAATATTTTCATTATTAGATTAAAAGTCAGCTGAAGTGACTTAAGTCAAGTCGATGGGTTGGTTTAGCTACGACCTGACACACAGCACACCGCTTGATGATGAATCATGGTGTATATTTATGCATGTCAGTCATTCGGTCATTCTTTGTAGCACACGTATGTAGATGTTTGCGGTATTAGCATGTTCATTTTATTTGACCAACACTTGTGTATACAAATTGCATCACACGTTCAAAACAGATTCCAACGGCTTTATTATGTGCCATTATAAATCAATTATTTTATTATCCAGTAAAATAATGAATTATGCTGTGCTTAATTGGTGAAAGTGACTTAAGATTTGAATTGGTAATGTGATAGTGTCATAACAAGATTTAAAAAATGAAAAATTGTGAAATTAATTAAAAAATTATTTTTTATTTTAAAATCAGTGAAAATTACTTAAAAATATTCGATTTATTAAAGAAAAACATTTCTTGTTAATAATGTTTACAATAATACTCATTAATCACTTGCTATGTCAACCAATTGGTTACACTTTGTCTAGGCGTGGGTGTATAATGAATAGAATTCTTAAGTATGCGACATAATCACGTAAACAGAAGCAGCGATGACAAAAAACCGATGATGCATCAACAAATGCTAGAAATACTTATAAAAAACGTGATTTTATAAAGCTAATTAAAATTTCTTGGAATTTTATTTGAATTTTGAATAGGAAACATTCCGCCATCTTGTTTTATACGTCAAATACCATGTTGAGGTTATGTGTTACGTAAATTTAATAAAATTATTCATATTTATCAGTTGCATAGAAATGTCTAGTCCTTTAAGCATCTGAGTACATATTTAATCATTGCATTCATGACTAAAGTCGAAAACTTGAACAATAACGTGACGATAACAAATTTACGCGATAATTACACATTGGTAAACATACAGCGCGGCTACCATGATAAGTATGCATGTTTATTACATCTTATTAAACTCATCACTAAAAATAAACCTTTTATGAAACAATAAAAGCATAATACGAATGTTAAATAAACTAATTTTAATAAAATAAGAAAAGAAAAATAAATTTATCTCCCTAGGATACAATTTCAGAATATATCCAGTGTTTAACCAGTCATTAAACATGCTAATCACCAATAAATTAAGTTTTATTATGGATTCTTGATTATCTTATTGATTTCTGGAAATACAAGTCTCTTTTGCGTTCCGCGGCTTGTCCGAAAGAGTTTCTTCAACGATTTATCTCATCCTTCATTAGCTGCGACAGCCGAGCGAACAAACCAACGTAGGACATTCATTAACGCGTGCGCGCGAGCCGCGTGTATACTAATTGTTGCCGCGGACTCATCGCGCACGCGGATGATTAATGAATTAATCAACTAAACAGCACCGTCGGCCAAGAACGACGACGAAACTAAATGCCAAGCGCGGCCACATAGTGCTCACATATCGCGCTCTTACATAATGAACCGATCATTGATATAATGAGAAGCATAAACATTGTTTGGTCACGCTTCGCTAAGTATTTATCTGTAAAAAGTTAACAAAAATTTTCAAAATGAAAAATTTTAATTTTTGTATAAAAATAAAAGAAAATGGCAGTGCAAGGCAATAAAAATAGGTTTCACTTGAAAATAATGATGAGATAATCGTATTTTCAATGTATATGTGTGTGTTTGTAGAGAAGTGAAATTATAAGTCAGATATGAGTATGGAACGCATGTGCAAACGCATTGCGCTACTCGTTTTCGTTGTGTGTTGTCTGTTGTCACCGCGTAGTAACGACCTTCAACACAGAGTAAGCACGTCGTGAGAGGTTGAAACAAAAAGTGAGTGCGAATATGTCGTCATTGTGCCTGGCTATAAATCACCAAACTTAAAATATTCGTCAATTTATCACACATAAAACTAAAAATTAAACATATTTAAAATAGTGAATATTGCAAAAGATTTAAAACAGTATTTAATAACAAATTAATTAGGATTAGTGGAAGATAAATGTTTATGGTTTTAAATTTTTTTAAATTTTTTACTTCTGTCGGTTTTACTTTTTCGTCTAGATTTGAACTGTGAGCGCAGAGGAAGCATCGTTAACGTGTCGCCGGCATGCTCTCGTCAAACCTGTCAACGTGTCAGCACGTGACGATACTTATTGGTCGTTATTAAGCAAGGTGTTGAGCGTCGAAATAGTTCAAACGAGACACGCAGAGTAACCAACTAAACTCAACTACTTCATTCCTTTCCAAAACAGCTCAGCTTAAGAGAACTAAGCGTCTAAGAAGGAAGCTGAACATCCGACACCTACTTCACTTTTATTATTAAGAATTAATGTTTCTCACTGATTGCACAGAGTGAAATCAAACATACTGTGTTTGAAATAAGAACGTGGTAGAAACAAAAGTGACTTATTAATGCTTAAAATAGTCTCACATGCTTTTCTTTAGATTGCCAGTTACAGTTTACTGTTATGTTGCGTTGGGCGGGCGAGCATACTGAATCTCGAAAGTAAAGTTTAGGTTAACAATCGGATACAATCACAGATTCTATATTTAACGTTTAACGAGCGCGCCGAAACGGATTCGCCGCGTGTTTTTTCGACTATGCGAACATATTGCGCGTGTGCTGTGTTTCCGGCTTCAAATGTCGGCATAAAATGAAAACAGCTTGAATTTTTTAAATATTTTAGCAATCAGAAAGGAAGCTTTGTTTTATTCAACGAAAGGAACATAGAAAAGCTATTAAGTTGTTGGTTGTTGTGTTATCACCAAAGATTGCTACTAGAAAATGCTTGTTTCATGTTGTAGGTGAATGTTATCAAATGTTTGATTATAAATTAAAGAATAGAAACATGAATCATGTATTTTCCAGCGAATTTAGTTTTTTTTTTTGTTTGTTGAAATGTAAAAGCCACTTCCATCAAATTGCAATTGTGTAAATTTTATCTAACTTTGTTTATATCTTTGCCATTGTTATTCTTTTTATTAATTCAAGTAAATTTCTCATGATATTTGTGTCATTTCTGTCATCTATGCAATTGTTCGATGAAGTAACGCGTTGAAACTAAGAAAAATGAAATTATTCCCACGTTTTTATTCATTTTTTCATTGTAATCATCATTAGAATTGAGATAAAAGCAAAAGTATGTCTTGAATGTGTTTTGAATTTTGAAGCAATTCGAGTGAAATTTTATTTTATTAAATTTATAACACATGTTCACGGCTACACCCAAATTTTCTCGCTGGGTTTTTCTACGTACTTGATATTCATATGATATTTTCGGCGTTTTTATTGCCTTGTGTGGTGGTATCATCTCGTGTCATCCGACCCACACACATGGCACGATGATTGCTTTCTTTTCGTGTTCTCGTGTTGTTACCAAAACCATGCTATCCGTTGTTATCGAAGTCTTCTTCTCGTCTTCTTTGGGTACTTCTTACTCACGTTGCGCTCGCCTCGAACTTGAACACTGTTCGAACTCAATTTCGCCCATCTGCTCGTGTAAAATCGCGATTCCCCTGCTAATATCACTATTTTCCTAGTTAAATTTCACATCATCGTTTAGCTAATTCAATGAACCAAAGCATGGTGTCAATTGCGGCTCAAGATCAATGTCGAGCGAGGCATTTTGTTGATCTGAAGTAACAGGTGTGCGTGTCTGGGCCTGTGCGGACGTGGATTGTATATAAGTCGAGTAACTGTAACTGTATCGTGTCGCACAAACGAAATTTCGATTACAACTGACCACTACAATGAATACCATACAACGAGTCTTGGAGAGTTCATTCAAGTGCGACCCAAAGAAATTAATGAAAAGAAAACGCGCATACCACGCTAAGACCCAAATTGCTGATTTTATGAACCCAATAAAGGAAGTGAGTGCAAAATGCCCACAGGAAACAATTATACAAAAGGATACCTTTCTATTCGTACGCGTGCCATGCACTTTACACAGCTGCAATATTTAATCCTAAGCGTGTTCACTGGTGCCTCGAGTCATTGGTCTCTGATATTAACACGACCCAAGCTAAGTTATATCTTTCCCGAAGGCATGCCAATGCAACTAATATTTTGAGCTATTTGCAGTTAGTAGTTACTAGTGCCTTTTGTTCTCATACGATAAACATTCTAGGTTCGTAAACGGCGCGTCGATGCGTTTAGTACGGAATGCGCAATCGCCGCGATCGAAATGGCCACCGGCCGCGGGTTGACAGCGCAAAACGTTTGCAATTCGCATGCTAATTAGAACCGCGACGTGTCGGTCTGCTCCGGCCTGCTTCGAGGTAGCCATTATTCACTTTGATACCTAAATCAACATGCGGCTGGCGCGATTTCAATTGATGTCTATTATCTTAAATGTGCCATTGCACTGTACTACCTGCTCAAGAATGTGAAATCTTTGTATCGAATCTTTTGGTTGACGTGCAGTACCTTCATTTGGAAAACGCTTTCGCTAGGAAGCAATAATAGCTATGGTTCAATATGTATGAGTTTCACTCATTTTCACTTAGACACATAACCAGCGAAGGAAAAGCTGTCAAAGTAATCAATATTTATTAAACAAAGTCGGTAGTGTGTTACACCATGTATAACTTAAGAATGGCTGGACGGATTTTTGAAATTTTTGTTTTTTTAGGTTCAGTTCTGACTGGGAAAGCAGATTAACCATTAAAATTTTGAGAAAAAAACACGAAAAATATCAGTTTTAAAGGATTTTGTGATTTTTTGTTTTTATTTTATCTCAAAAACAAGCTCAATTAATTAATAATATATTTAATATATTAGACTTTTTAAAATATTTTTTGTTCCTCGTTGATGATGTATCATATTCTTGTATTTTTTAATGGTTGTAATCTAAAGCGGCGTTATCTAATTGCTCGTCTATTTCGGTTGCTTACAGAAATAGCAAAAGTGAGGGCGAGCCTGTTTCAAATCAATGGCGTCAAGAAGGAGCCCCTCGTGCTGCCAGACGCCGAGGGCATCGTCACCACACTCACCGAAAAGGTCTACGTACCAGTCAAAGAACATCCAGACGTAAGTAGTACTAAGATTTGTTAGTCTTTTGTTTGACATTATTTGGTTAGCACAGTCATGCGTGTCATAACCTACTTATTCAACTCTTTGGTATTGTTGCATTTATTAAATGCGTTTAATTAAATTCGTGATTTTTCTACTTGTTTCAGTTCAACTTTGTGGGTCGGATCCTGGGCCCGCGCGGCATGACGGCCAAACAGTTGGAGCAGGAAACCGGCTGTAAGATTATGGTCAGAGGGAAGGGCTCCATGAGGGACAAAAAGAAGGTGCGTCTAAAAGCAATTTAAATCATTACTGATACCCAGATGACATCAGTTTGTATTCAGTTGTGATGATTTTTCATTTCAATCCGAATTCATTTGAAAAGCAAATTCGATTACGAGATCAACGCATGATGGTTGAGCTTCTGATGTTTCTTTTGTATTTTTATCCAAGCGTAATTTGATACTAATGTTATGTTAGCTTCTGATTTTCTTGCATCTTCAATCGCGTGTGTATCTTGCGCTGCTGGTGTTTTTTTTTGAAGTTGTTGACTCTGCTTGTGATGGGCAAAGGCGGCAGAGCAAGTCTGGCGACATGGACTTCTGTTTCCACAATTAGTCTCGTCCCGTATTTGGTTTCTGTCAATGCAATCACGTACTTAACTTAAGTCGAGTGAAGTGCGTCTGTTTTCTCTATTTCTGGCATAATTTCTAATGATGGCGCATCATCCACACGTTTTATTGCGATTCCACGAACTTGATAAGTCATAAATCTTGAAGTGAATGCAATAAATCAGTAAATAATTAACCAAAAATAACTATTACAAAATTTCACATAGAATAATAATAAATTTGTAATGATTATAAACGTCGTCGTCGGTCTATCTGTTAGTAATTGCTGTGCCCAGTTTCATACTTTATGCTTTATAGTTAGCGCTGGGCACGAGTCATTTAACTCTAATTCTGGTCAATTATTACTAGGCCAAGTTTCAGACGACTGTACAATCATAGAATAGAATGCGTGTGTTGTCAATCGGCGCCATCTTGATGCACTCGTGTGCGTACGTGCATTATATGCAGTGGTACTTAATTGAAGCCTGTAACGTTTAATTAATTTCTTCTCTACTACTACTACTACTCCTTCTCTTATTGTGTGGTATTATATCATTTCTGATAATAATCCATGAAGAACAAGATGAAGAAAATTTCTTATTGGTTTATGCTGTTGGTGATGCTTGTTATTTTGAATTTTCAACATGGTGAGCCTTTTTCCTGTTGGCGGTTACGCTACACATCGTTTACAATTCATTAGTTTTCCAATTAGTGTCTCGAAAAAAGCAGCCACTGGTCTAAAAATGCTTGCACGCCCGCTCGACCGACGAAAACGTATCCAATAATTTACCTTTATTATTTATTTTAAAAATCCATGCTCGCGCACGCATTTGTTTCGCTCGTTTCGCCGCTTTTTCCTTCCGTGCGTTGCGCGCGCGCCATGATTCGGCTCGGTTTCGGCGATGTTAATGTACGAGCGCTTTGGCGCCGAGCCAAAATTAAACTCCTGCTCGTCTGCATCCCAACGAGAAAAATAAACGTCGCTGGCGTGCCAGAATCGAACATTCGGTGGAAGTGCGTGGGTGCATTATACAGAGTACTATCAACTTATCACAAACACTTTAAAAATTTCTCTTTAATAAAATTTATATTGTATTAATTAGATATTTTATTTTATTCTTAGAAATATAACTATTTTATGATAATACTTAGATTATATTAATATATGTGATTGAAACTCGTTAAGATTATTGGTAGTACTTTATATGTTTGACTGCGTTTGCCAAAGGAGATTACGAAAAACATTTTCCACCTGAAACTCGAACGGTTCATCTCAATGCTCACAATTTTCCACGCTTGAATCGTCACGACGCACCGTGACTTTCTTTTTCGACAACAACACATGTTATGCATTATCATTTTTAAATAGTCTGGACATTGAGCGGGCTGCCATTTTGAGTCCGGCGGTTAGACAAAATATAAATATATTTTTATGTTTTCGAGATGAACAGATTACCGTCGATGATAAGCGAATTTACGACAGGTTATATTTTTAACATGTGTTACAAAAGTCGCTATACAATTCTAACATTTAAATATTCTGTTTCTAGGAGGATCAAAATAGAGGTAAACCGAATTGGGAGCACCTGGCCGACGAGTTGCACGTCCTGCTCACCGTCGAGGACACCGAGAATCGCGCACAACTCAAATTGGCGAGGGCAGTGGAAGAAGTTAAAAAATTACTAGTACCTGTAAGTATTCAAAATGGCCGCTTCTGCTTGAATTAATGAACATTGTCAATAAAATGTTGCAGTCAATGTTTATTTAGTTGTTGAGTGTCGTGTTGTCAAGTAGCCAACACGACTGATATGAAAAAGAAATTAATTTATTTGTGGGAAACTACTTAATTAATTATTCTGATTATTTGCAGCAAGCGGATGGTGAAGATGAACTCAAGAAGCGTCAATTAATGGAGCTAGCCATCATCAACGGTACTTACCGCGACTCGAGCAGCAAGAGCAACTCAGCCACAGGTAATCATACTGAATAATAAACACGTTCAATGCAATTCGTTAATGTAAAGATTATGTTGTAGCTTGTGAAGATGAGTGGCGCAGGGCGGCGATATCGGCGGCGGCGGAAACGCAACGCCTGCTGTCACCGGCGATACCCGGCTTGACGACACCAATGCGAACGCCCGCCGTCGGCGCCCCTTTAATTCTGTCGCCGCGCATGAGCGTGCCGACGACAGCCGCCTCCATCCTCAATGGCAGTGCACCCCCCGGCTCACTGCTCAGCCCCGGCGATCCGCATAGTCTTATCTACACGCCCTATGCGGACTACACCAACTACGCGGCGTTGGCGGCGTCGCCGCTTCTCACCGAATACGCCACGGCCGATCATTCCGGTGGGTTATTTGCTCGTTGAACATTTTCTTTCTTTTTTACCACGTTTTTTCTTTAATTTTTGTTCGCTCCATTCTTGTTTTATTTTGCGGAACTAGAATTAGATATATGTCACAATATCAACACAAAAATCGAGGGAAACACAAATCGTCAAAGTGAAAATTTTCATTTTACATGGCAGACTAGGACATTTTTTAAATTCTAGTTTAATCTCTGGCAGTAGTTAAGTTTCTAATTAGAAATTTCACACGCTTTGATCAAATGAAAGAGCGAGAAACAAGTTTGTCTTGTGCGTTCGTTACCACAGCCGGTTACACAGTGCCATAAACGTATCAAAAGAGCAAGCAAACAAGAAAGATATGCCGAAAGGAAAACAAGCAGAAAAATTGCATGAATTTTTGAAATCTAATTTTAAAAAATCTGTGATAGTTTTTAAAAGTTTATAGTTACGCAAAGAACGACGCTACAACTGGAGGCGCGTTATCGACAGTCATTTATACAAATTACAGTAATGTTTATTTATTTACTTTTCTTACGTACTTTGAGATTGCTTTAATGGAGCTTTATTTTAATGAGAATATCGTAAATATTGTTCACGTGGCCTGCTAGAAAAGCTTTAAGAGTAATATTTGACGGTAAGATTCTTTAAGGATCACATCACAATCCGATTTTTTGCATTTTTTAAAACCTATATAAATAATTTTTAGGAGTAAGCTTAGGAAAATATTGTTTTGTTGGAAATTCACTGGTGAATCTTCACAACTTTGAAATTATTTCATAGTAGATAGGAATTTTGGTAGAGTATTATCATCGTTACCTCATTCAGCTTATAAGCAGCATATTATTGTATCGTTTTTAAAGTAATTGGTAGCTAAATAATGCCGCAAAATGTCGAAATTTTCGTGCAGGAGATGAAATGATCATTTTGACATGTTGAGGACTTTGACCAATTTGAAATGCTATATGTTGTTATGAATTTTTGTAGCGGCGGGAGCGGTAGCGGCGGCGGCAGCTGCGAAGCAGCGCCGGCATCTGGGGCAGGTCCGAGAGCATCCATACCAAAGAGCGGGCGCTCTGTCATAAACAAAATAACTCACACACTCGAATCTCAAATCGAATCGGTACACAATTGCTGATTGACGATTTGCGTTCAGCAATCATTCGCAGTCGCGAAGCAAAACACTCATGCAAAGACAAAACGAAAATTATATAATTGTAACATTAAACAAGTATACATTAGGATCCTCTCGAATACAGCGGAGGAATATAGTTCTTTATTTAAATATTTTATGATTTCAACATGATCAAGCAATGCGTAAGCGAAATTCTCAATTAATTCATCATTCAAACGTGTAATGACTTATGACAAGATGTCGCCCACTCTTTCCGCCATTAAACTCTCGCTCGCCCTTTCCGGAAAATTCGCACACAAAGTCAATGAAATTCCGTTGCCAAAAATCTAAACGCATAAGGTTAGTTATACAAACCGTATGTTTGTTTTTAATTTTCTTCTCTTTATTATTATTATGATTTTATTCTGTCTGTTGTTATTTTGAGTTTTTGAGAGAAAGAGATTAGTTGTTAGTTTGTGAATGTGCTGCATTTCTAATCTGGTTGTTTTCAATGACGAATTGATTTGGTATTTGACGAACAAAAACATAAGAAGCATATACGAAACATTTGAGAAACACTTTTAGTGTGTATGTACATAGATACAACGGGCGGATGTACTTTCATACTTACATGAAGCAAGTAGAACAAAATATTATTAAAATGGCGACTGTGGTGGACAATCACAGGTCGCAGTCTTTTCAAAGGGCCATTAAAATTAAACTTAATATTATTATTATTATTACTATTATAATGTATCTTGGATTTTACATTACTTGAGACAGTATTTCTTTATAAATTTATATTGATTGAAAATTGTTTCGAGTGTTTGATCAGGCGTAACAGAACAAAATGAGAACATACACGGGTTGTGACAGTTTTAACAAATATTACAAAGTATTTATATAAAAAATAAGCGGGATACAAACAAACCGAGACAAATAGATAGTGTTTGTAGTTGTTATTGAACGGCTCTCTTTTATTTTTATTTTATTATTATTATTATTGCAATATGTTAGATGTTTTTTCTTGTTTCTAGTTCTATTTTCTATTATGTAAGATAAGCGTTATCGAGCTAAAATTTAATCGTTCTTAAACTATAAGACTTTAAACATTTTAAAATTTATATACGATTATTACGTACACAATACACAATATTGCGATATGCCTTATCGGAAAAGGAAAGAAGGACTTTCCATACAATTAATAATTCATCTAAATGCCATTTTAATATTTATAGCAACGTAGATATTGCGCGGTTACCATACAACAGGTTTTATTTATATTTAATATCATAGACTGATGCTAAATATTGTATACTTCATTCCATTATATCGAGAGTTGTGACATTCTTAACAATAACGCCCGCAGAGAAGTATACGGTATAGGCGCAACCATACCTGCATAGTACAATGGCGTACGTGTTGGGTGGGTTGCGGACGATTAACACTAGCTAGGTGTCCGTTTCGCATTTAAAAAAATGATAAAATTTTCGTTTTCTTCTGCCCTATACAGAATATCCGTCTGACTACATGTACGAAACCGCAAATCGTAAACGAGTCTGGCCGAACGTGTACTCATTTTATACCCGAAATAGATAATGCCGGCCCGGCGATTATCTATTATGGAGGCTCCGATGCGCAAAAGAATGTAACAACCCAATGTTTTGACAATTTGACATTTTACTTGGATTGGTACTTAATCTTTACACTAATTAGTTGAGATCGATATAGAAAACAAAGCATCACGTGGCAACTAGTCTTCTAAAATTTACATTTATATATATTTATATAAAATATATATACATACATACGTATTATTTCCTTAGGATTGATTTTTACTTATTGATTTATTTTACTCTACTCTGCAAGACGATTTTACTTATTTAAACTTTTGTTGAGCGTTTTGTTTAAATTTTTCAAATTTTATTATTTTGTGATATATCCACGATATGTTAGGTGTGTTCTCGTAATGAATGAACATCTGCTTTGATTCTACGAAACACAATTGACACATTTTTTGTACATAATGTTTTATGTTGTTAGAGATTTTTGTTAAACTAGGCAAAGTCCTTCTTTCTCGTGAAAGTGGCATTTTTAGCAACAAAAATCAAACGCATTGCTCCGCCATATTCAACACATCACAACAAAATATTTAAGGCGTGGGAGGGCAATGTGTGTTGAGTTATATTCATTTATACACTTAGTGGTTTAGTTCTTATTATAAAAATATCTATATCTATTTTTTGTATTTATGTTGTATAAAAAAATGGCGCGCACATTTCTAAAGTGTGACAGCTATCGCCATGTTTTCTCTGAGCGATGAAACGTAAACAAACGAATATAATATATTTGTACAAAAAAAGTTACCGAGTTACTTTAACACACGACAACGCCAAACAGTTAACAAATTGATATTCAATGATTACCTCCCCGCAAATCGACGATCTTCTTTTCTCTTGATTCATCTCTTGCACATTTATTCTCATACGTTCACATTTAACACGATTTTCAACTTTTAACGTTTAACAAGGTACCACGTAAAATAATCATTAGTTTTACTAATTGGACAAAGAGTGAACGAGGATGAGGAGATGGACGACGACTTACATTGATATCATATATATTAGTAATAATAATAATAATATTAATCGATTTGAACCGAACGTAGTGGATAACCAACAACTATCACTATCTGGCCAGAATAATACGTATATAATAATAATCACCATTTTATTTTCTATAATACATTGTCGCAACCACTAAAACTTGAACTAAACCACCACAGAATATAATATAAAACTTCTTAATTCTTAGATTTTACTAGACTTTAATGATTTAATGACTTATTGACTTGATTTTTGACTTAATTTTAATCAATCGCTGACAGTCTGCCCAAAGGGACAGAGAGTATTCAGAATTGACGTAATTCTCCAGCGATAATTCATTAATAATATTAATAGTTTGCATTTTGGCGAACATATGGAACGATAAGACGTGCCGCTGTTCTATGTACTATAATTACTACTATAATATTGCAAAACGCTACTTAATTTTTTACTATGTTTCGAAATAACTTCAAATAATTTCCGACACCGTTCGTATCACAACCAAGCCAAAAACACCGTTTAATAATATTTTTGCTTACTTTGTTTTTGTTTGTTGATTAATTCAATTCTTATTATTGCGATCAACCTCTTTCTCACATTTGGGTAGCGTGTGTGTGTGTGTGTTTGTAGGCTTTATTTATATGACGACAATCATCGAAAGTATAAACAATGGGAAATTACCTTAACCTAAATTAATCACTTTTAAAATGGCACTTTTTTAAATTGTTTATTGTTTTTGCTTTTGTTGTTGTCGTTATCAAATTTGTATGTGAATAATGTATTTAATTAGGTCGACATGTTGATATGAGACGATTTACTAACATATTTTCTTCTCTTTTTTAACACTTCACCATCGGCGATGAACGTATCGAACGTATGTGTGACCTAATCAAACCAAAACAAACAAACAAAAAACTATCCGCACTAGAATTCCTGTTACGGCTGTCACCATGCATCAAAGTGCAATAACCGCCAGATCATCATCGCCGCAGCCGCCTCTTCGAGTGCCGGCGACGACAAATAACGCTGTATGGGGATGCGGGCTGAGTATGCTAACACCCAAAAATCAAAACTCTCACAGCCTCTACTAGTACTACTGCAAGTTCGAATTAACCATAACACCACTTAGTACTACTAATAAACAAACACATCATCATGACGAAATGACTGTATCATCCTTCTGGGGGCGGAGAGTGAGGAAAATGGCGCATAGAATTTGCGACGTAAACTATCGAAAAACGAAAAATCAACGAAACGAGTCGATGTTATGGAATAGAAGAGAGCTGGATTCGCCACAACAAACTGGTCAGTACACGTTTTATTGATTGTTTTTTTCTGTTTCTTTTATTATGCGAAAAACAATCATCTTTAATTACAATTAAATCTGTTAACTTCTGTTACGCATTGTTAAGCTAATGTAATGAACATCTAACGGACAAATCACGATACAATATTGAAGTACAAAAATTGAGGATTTTTTTGAAACAACAAGTGCCAAGTTACAATTTATACAAAAAGATTCAGTGCCTTAAAACAAACTAAAAAAAATATATTTAATCAATATATTGTGTATAGAGGGAAAACTAATATTTGCTAAGATTTGATATTGAATGTAAAAAGAAAGTCTCTGTAAATCTTGTGGACTCATCTTTCGAATACTTATTACTTATAAATTATGTGTGTTTACTGTGTGTATGTGTTGTTCAGCTTTAATTGAGAGACATTAGGCACATAACGAAGTAAAATTAACGAAAATAATACTCAGTAACTATGGATCTAAAGAAGAATAATTTTATTGCTATATATTATTACCTATATATTAAATGTTTATTAATACCTAAATAGGATGTAATAATGATTCTAATGTTTGTTAGTTTATTATTATTATTTTGCGATTGCGATATTTGGATTTAACGTCGGAGTGCAATTATTATTCTATCTTAAACAGATATTTTCTAATTTGTGAAGAGTTTATTTGACAATAGTTGTATTGTTTTCATAGTTTTTCTTTCTCTTTTGGTTTATTTTACTTTTTCTTTCGATTTTTTCGAAATGTGAGTGGAGTGTGTCCGTGTGCAATCAATCGTTGAAGCCGGAAGTAAAACCAAGCGCCATTTTTATTTTAGCGTCTTGATAAATGTCCAGTTAAACTTTAAACTTTAATTAACCTTAACCTGTACTTGACGCTTGTGTTTTGCTTCTGTTCTTTATGCGATATCTCTTAATTTTTAGTTATTATTACACTGTTCGAATGTGAACAGTGACCGAGCCCCCTCTTGATTATTTCTTACCGTCTAAGGTTCTAGAATGTACTTATGATGATGCGATTAACGGTTTTATTTTTATTTGAAGGAGGTGCAGATTTTTTTTCGACTTTACTTGAATATGATCAATATGTATCTGAGCAATAATCAAAACAAACGATGGATGAATGAATTGTTAAGTTGAGTGTTTGTTTTTGGCGTGTTTGATCCGTGCGAAAAGTCTGCAATATAACGAGAGCAATGGCAATGTTAATGTTGTTTGTATTACTTTACTTATTATTATATTATTACTACATACTTATAACTTGAATTATTAAAATGAAATAACAGAGATATATTTATTAAAACACGCATACGATCGCAATGAGAATCATTGGTAGCTATTTGTAATTTAATCGCAATTCTTGATAATTAATAACAAACATAAAAAACGCTGTGGTTGAAAAGAAGCAACAAAACTAAGCAAAGCGTAAGCGAAATGTAACAAAATTCTAATGATATCGTCACGACGATAGATTCTAAATGTGTCATATTAATTATTAATTACATATTATTGATGATGTTTTATATAATATATAATAATTATTAAAAAAAAGAGAGTAGATATTTTATTTGCTAGATTTATGAACTTTACTAAGAACACTAGTGTGTATGCAATAATAATTACAGCAAAATAATGAGAATATTGCAAAACATTCTCGCAGTTTTGTACATTTTTCACCTTAATATTACTTATTTAACATTAAGCTGCTATGACACACACCGACAATAATGCTGGTTAATGTTGTTAACAATCACGCACACTGAATAATTGAGCGGCAATGTTTTTGTAATGGCAATTAATCATTTAACATGTACGTGAGTGCGCCTGTAGTATCTTCATTTGTTGATTAACAGATTGATGCGTCTCATTAACATTATAACCATAATCGCACAATTCGATTAACAACACACTCATGCACTCAGTACTCTCAGAACGGCTTTCATAAAATGATGCACAAAGCAAATTGTAATATTTATTAATTTGGTTATATTGTATTATATCCATAACTAAGTAATCTGTAATTAACAATCACTAATCGTATCAATATCGAATATCTTTCGTTAATCTCGAGTTAATATGGATCTGCACGTGAATTACTAGTTATGTTAATGCGATTAATAATTGGACAGCAATTTGAGTTTCTTTAATACTACCAAATAATGATTTGTTTGAATTTATTGTTTATAATAATGGGGGTCTTTATTCTTACTTTATGATTAATTTTATCTTTCGATATATTTGTTAAGAAATAAAATATGTTTAAATGTGATTTTTTCTTTTATAGTTTTACTACCTATATCATATCCTGCGTTGTTTATTTGAATCGATTTATTTAAAAATACAACTCGAATTAGTTCGGCTCAATGTATGAGAGATTGTGCCTAGTGTTTGTATGTGGTAGTAGTAGTTGTTACACTATGCGCTTATCAGTTTATAGGTAAACAAGTTTCTACAAGTTCAACATGCGTGCCGCGTAGCTCAGTTAGTTTCGTGCCGCCGGACAGTGCGGGTGCATCTCTTGTGGCTCGCCACGTTTCTACACAGTTTAAACGGATAATATTTACTCAAAATAGACTGCAGTTAGTGATAATCGAGTTTGGTCTTATGCTAGTGTTTATTTCTGTTTATAAAATGGAATATTTTTGTTCTTTATTTGTGAATGTTGTGTTTATCTGCCATGCCGTATCTTGGATTACCTGACATTGCTGGTAAGTACCTACATAGTTTAATTGTTTGTTGATTGCGTTTATACAGTGTAACTTTTCATGCATACGACGGCGGCGCTCTTATATCACGGGATCGAATTGGAGGATTTGCACGTTTTCTTCTGATTTTGATAGCGCGAGAGTGGATATTAAAGATAATATTGTCATTCTTATCATTATTATAAGAATAAAAGAAATTTTAATTTAAAAACTGGGTACCGACGGAACACAAATTCATTTCAACATGCCACGAACTGTTGTAAATAATGTTTTGTTTCTCATTTATTTCAGTATCTATCAACATGTCTTCGATTTACGGTTTTGCATATCTGATAAGTAAAATAATTTTATTATTAATAGAAAGAGTTTGCCGTGTACCTAGATTTCAGTTTAGTTCTACGTTTTAATGATTTTCTGCCATGTTACCAAATGACTTTCTGAGTTCTTTCTTAAGGAAAATGAATGGAAATTTGAAGTTTTATTCGGACATGAATCAAAAAGACATATGCCTCAACTTCTAATTTTTTAAATTTTATATATTATTTCAATATTTGATGTAAAATCGGGTAATCTTTGATCTTAATAATTATGAACTACGTAAATTGAATTTTAATGCATCATTAATTTTAATAAGTAATTTAAATTGTGGGACTACTACTTGGACTCGTATCATTTATAGATGGCATTAGCATGAACTTAAAATCGTAAAATAGATTTCGACACGAGAATTGTGTTTGTTTACACTTTTTTATTGCTGTGCGAATAGCAACGCCCGAAATTGCGGTGTGTTCTCGTTGCCATCCTTTCTTGTCTCGCTACGCTTGTGTTCTAGTAGTTGAAATCGTGCAGGTTACGTGCCATTCTTGCGCCGGTTTTACACGTTCGCGAAGTAGGTATTCTTATCACGCCACGCTGTTTGCTTGGCATTGGCATTTTAATACTTTGTCTTATAGAGAATTACTCGAAGATTAATAATTTCCATCTGTTCCTCTCTTCATATCATAAATTTACGAAATATTCACGAACGAAAAGACTCATAAAAAATAAAATTTGCTCTTTTTTGCACATTTATACACAATTTCAGAACCTCTACACCTTTAATTTTAATTATTTTGTTGTTTTATCCTATAAAGAATTTTCCAAACTTTTACAATTTTTGATCCGCTCTAGGTAAGAAAAGTAGAATTTATAATCACGCCATAATTGAAGTCGAACGTGGTGCATTATAATTAACTGGGACGAACATTTACATTCATTGTGAGACCAGACGGTTAATTGACATGAATATAAAATTAAGAACGTTGATTTTCATTGTTGATTTCGTTATTTAATATATTGCAATTAATCGCAATTGTATAGTTGAGTGTCATTTGGTATACCGTAGCAAGATGTCGGTAAAAGTGACTCGTATTCAGGGCACCGTAGGGGGTGACGGTAGAAGTGACTCGTATTCAGGATACCTTACGAGGCTAGCGGTAGAAGTGACTCGATTCAGGGCACCGTACGAGGCTAGCGGTCGAAGTGACTTTTATTCAGAGCACCTTACGAAACTAGCGGTAGAAGTGACTCGTGTTCAGGGCACCGTAGGGGGTGTCGGTAGAAGTGACGCGTATTCAGGGCACCTTACGAGGTTAGCGGTAGAAGTGACTCCCATTCTGGACACCGTACGAGTGCAGCGGTAAAAGTGACTCGTGTTCAGGGTACCGTACTTGGATGAGTGTATAACTGATTCTCATTAGTCTATTTTTTCTTAGGAATTATTTTTTCATGTTTTAAATTTTTGATTTAACTAGCTTATGCCGTTTAGCACGTTTGAAACTTTATATACATACTATTTAATTAGCTTAGTACCCAAAATTGCTGTATTCGTTATATGGGCACCACTTTAATTTTAGTCTTTTATTTTGACTTTTATTATTTACGTTTGAATCACGGACGGCCAAGGCACATACGCACGGTACATTATGAAAACTTAAGCGTGCTCACGAAAGGAGCAGCCTTCAATTCTGCATCAGGAATGACAAAATTGCCCACTTTTGTGTGAGTGTATGTATTGAAATGTTGTAATTCAATGAAGTAATTCATTTTTTGTTGATATTTGTTTCTTTGTGGAAGCTTGGGAATACGTATTTCCTGCAGACATTTTGCGATTAATACAAATTGTAAAACACCGTTAATAGTTAATGTAAAATCGTTGAATCTTTTATTAATTTCAATTATTTAAATTCCGGGACGCCTATCTGCTGTATTATTCAAAGATGGTACAAGCATGAATGTGGGATTCGGCACGAAAATTGTGTTTGTTTTGAACACAATGACTTTCTTATCGCTTCGGCCGTGTGGAATGCATCGCATGAGATTCCCAAGTGTCGTCATTGCAAACCCCTCACGCCGCATGCAGCATATTCTAGTTTAGTTTAGATTTACGGGTATTGTGCCTATTGTAATTCGCGCACAAGGTCGCGTGCCATCGTAGCGCAGCCGCCTTTGCGCATCTCTTCTTATCATAAACTGTAGCGTAGCGTCGTTGCTTGCTCGGCTACGGCGTGCACTATCCGCGGATTGCGCTCAGTGTTGTGTCGGTCCCTGGTTGATTCAGACGTGTCTCTCGCGACTCGTATCGTTTGTTCGGACTTGTGCTTTTTTAAATTTGCATTATATTCGATCGCCAATAGACGATTTAGTTGCGACTATAGTAATGTTATTGACTATTTGCATCTTTATTGTCCGTAAATGCCGGTTAAGTGTATATTGCAACTCACAAGACACGTCGAGTTGCTAAGTGCATCAGCCCCTGTCGGAGTGTTGGAACACATAAAATACTGGTATGCTATCATTACTTGCTTGATCTATAGGGGAAGGTTGGCTAAGTCATACCGTCACTTAAGTCGTACCTCGCTCTTTTCAATAACTAGAAGGCACTTTATGCAACTTAAAATGCTGTATTCGGGCTAGAGCTTCACGCGATACCTAGACTTTTCTCGTATCGTCTCGGTCTCGTCTCGGAAAAGCGAGACGATACCGAGACGAGACGTGTTTTATCAATTTCTCGGCGATACCGATACCACAGTCCGAGTCTCGTTTTTGGTCTCGTTATTGGTCTCGTTACTTTTTTTTATGAAGTTGTTATTAGAAAAATGGGAAAAGGTCCAATATAAAATTAAAAATTAATATTTTAAACTATGTATGTATTTTGGATTAACTTTACAATACATGCAATTAGCAATTAAATGACTAAACTTTTGAACTGCAAAGATCTAAAACTGAGTTCTACTTAAAGCTTCACACGATACCGAGACTTTTCTCGTATCGTCTCGGTCTCGTATCGCTTTTGCGAGACGATACCGAGACCGAGACGATACCTTTGATAGTATCGTCCAGTCTCGTCTCGTGTGAAGCCCTAATTCGGGCAGCATGATATCATACTAGACGCATATTCTTTAATCTACATTTAATCCTACATTCGTACTTGTTGCACGTACGCCTTTTCAATCATTTCGTGCGAACGGCGTCACATATTCTTGACCGGCGTGACGAGTGCTGCGGAATTAAATTCTCCGTCGGGTGGTATTTGTTTGTTGCAGGAATTCGAGCTAAAACCCGCGTTAATTTGTATAGAAAAGTGATTTCTTAACCCTTTTACGTAAAATATTTGTGTTTTTTTCGGTTTACACGCCATCTAGACGGCGTAGTAACTTTAGAGTGGTGTCTACAGATACGGAATTAAATTCTCCGTCGGGTGTTATTTGTTTGTTGCAGGAATTCGACCTGAAACCAGCAAAAATTTGCATATAAGAGTAATTTTTCAATCCTTCTTCGAGAAATGTTTGTGTTTTTTTCGGGTTTACACGCGATCTAGGCCGCGTAGTCACTTCAGCGGGGCGTCTAAACATGCGGAATTAAATTCTCCGTCGGGTGGTATTTAATTGTTGTAGGAATTCGACCAGCAACCCTCGGAAATTTGTATATAAGTGTAATTTTTCAACTCTTTTTCGTGAAATGTTTGTGTTTTTTCGAGTTTGCACGCTATCCAGGTGGCGGAGTAACTTCTGCGGAGCGTCCAGGGAAGCGGAATTAAATTCTCCGTCTGGTGGTATTCAATTATTGGAGAAATTCGACTTGCAATCCGCCAAAATTTGCATATAAGTGTAATTTTTCAACTTTTTTTTTGTACAATGCTTGTGTTTTTCCGGGTTTGCACGCGATCTAGGCGGCGTAGTAACTTCAGCGGGGCATCTAGAGATGCGGAATTAAATTTTCCGTCGGGTGGTTTTTAATTGATGCAGGAATTCGACCTGCAACCCTTGAAAATTTGCATACAAGGGTAATTTTCAACGCTTTTTTGTGAAATGTTTGGTTTTTTTCAGGTTTGCACGCGATGCAGGCGGCGTAGTAGCTTCAGCGGGGCGTCCTGCGATGCGGAATTAAATTCTCCGTCGGATGGTTTTTAATTGTTGCTGGAATTCGACTTGTAACCCGCGAAAATTTTCATATAAGTGTAATTTTCAAACTTTTTTCGTGAAATGTTTGTGTTCTTTCGGGTTTGCACGCGATCTAAGCGGCGTAGTAGCTTTAGCGAGGCGTTTGCAGATGCGGAATTACATTTTCCGTCGGGTGTTTTTAATTGTTGCAGGAATTCTACCTGCAACCCGCGAAAATTTGCATATAACTGTAATTTTTCAACCCTTTTTTGTGAAATATTTGGGTTTTTTCAAGTTTGCACGCGATCTAGGAGGCGTAGTAACTTCAGCGGAGCGTCTAGTGATACGAAATTAAATTCTCCGTCCGATGGTATTTAATTGTTGCAGGAATTCGACCTGCAACACGCAAAAATTGCATCTAAGTGTAATTTTTCAACCCTTTCTTGTGCAATGTTTGTGTTTTCCCGGGTTTGCACGCGATCTAGGCGGCGTAGTAATTTCAACGGGGCGTCTAAAGATGCGAAATTAAATTTTCCATTGGGTGGTATTTAATTGTTGCAGGGATTCGACCTGCAAACCGCGAAAATTTGTATATAAGTTAAATTTTTAACCCGTTTTTGTGCATTGTTTGTGTTTTTCCGGGTTTGCACGCGATTTGGCGGCGTAATAATTTCAACGGGGCGCCTAAAGATGCGAAATTAAATTTTCCGTTGGGTGGTATTTAATTATTGCACGAATTCGATCTGCAACTTGCGAAAATTTGCATATAAGTGTAATATTTTTTAACCCTTTTTCGTGAAATGTTTGTGCTTTTCGGGTTTGCACGCGATCCGAGCGGCGTAGTTACTTCTGCGTCTAGAGATGCGGAATTACTCCGGCAGGTTATATTCGTTAGTAGTAGAAGTGACTCGTGTTCAGGGCACCTTACGAAGCTAGCGGTAGAAGTGACTCGTGTTCAAGGCACCGTATGAAAGTAGCTGTAGAAGTGATTCCCATTCAGGGCACCTTACGAAGCTAACGGTAAAGTGACTCGTGTTCACGGCACCGTATAAAAGTAACGCTAGTAGTTCCTTAAAATCGCTCTGCAAAATTAACTTTTTAAATTTTTTGAAAGTTTTTTAAAAATTAGGTTCATAGTTTGGTTGTGAAAAATTGTGTTGCCGGTACGTACCCATTCTGGATGCCCGATTTTATGTCTTTTCAACATTATATAAATTGTATTACACCTACATACCTGAATGTTTCTTCTTCCACTCTACGCGTGTATTGCTGTTTGTGTATAAACAACTTTCTTATCGCTTTGAACCAGTTCCACGCTGCTATCGGGCGACGAACATTCGAGCGTTTCAGTTTGTTCTTATTTGCACGCGACTTCTCGCCTTTCTTTCTTTTCAATTCTATAAATTGCACTTTAACGTTAATTTCCGACATAAATACCGACACGTAATAATAATAGACTATTTAGTGTTTTGCTTATAATGATTTGTGCGACGCAGCGCAGTTCGTAATCTAACACACGTGTTTTTTTTTTCTGTTTCAGTCCTTCCTTTGATTACCCTTTGCCCCGGTAAGTTGTTAAATATTATTACATCATTATCACATTGATGTTTTTATGTCGCATGTAACGAGAGTACCGTAATACTCGTAAGTCAAAATTGTCGCGTGCCGTCGGCTGCGTTTGCGATCTTGCCTGAGAATGTGGTTTTCACTGTTATTCTCAGCTCTTATTGTTCTTTTGCATTCAAAATCAGGAGACCGCGTCGCGAAGAAAATTTCAATATGCAATAAAATTCATTATGGTGTTTTATTGTTATAAAACAATTGTATATATGTATATTATGATCATTCTACCTTCTCTACTCTTACTTCTTCTTCTTAGATATTTTCTCCCGCTTTGTAATTGTATTAGTAGTTGGTAGTTGTATTTCTGTTGTGTTGCCTTCTTTTCACTTTCCTTTGATATTCGTTGGGAAACTTTTAACTTGGCTTTTCTTGATCAACAAAAATTTATAAAAATTGATCTTTTTGAATGTTTTGATCGTGGGATTTTATATTAAATGTTTAAATTTTCCTTATGTATTACCCTGTATATTTATTTCCCCTGATTTCCAATCAGTACTTGACTACATTTGTGTTTTCCAGATGTTTTCTCCTTGATTGTAGTACTTTATTTTTAAAGCTAGTAATTTTCCTTTTGTGTCACCCTGTATACTCGTTTTTTTTCATTCCCAATCTGTCACTGACCAAGTTTGTTGTCCGGGTGTTTTCTATTTTGAACTTTATATTTTCTTTCTGTATTACCCAGTATATCACTTTTCCTTAACATCCTGGTTAATATGGGGAAAATTTATTGTTATAATGTATTGCTCTTTTTTGAATCATTGGTTTTCTTTTTGTAACACCCTGTATATTAATTTTCCTGTATTTAATTGCTATTTCATAATCATACAGTATGTTGGTGTTTATAATTTGGTATCTATGTGCATATGTGAAACGCAAATCGTAAGACTTGTTTCACGATGGCGGCCTGATATTTGTATGTATTTTACATTCTGTTATTTAATTTGTTAATAAAGAAATGTTAAAAGAGATTGTGAGTTGTATTATTCGTGCACCCCCTCTATCATTGCAGGTTCAGGTCAGAACTTGTACGAACATTTTTAAGTGTCGACTCTCTCAAGGCGACTTAAAACTTAGAAATATTTTATATTTCCCACTCTCAGGGGATGATCCCCACTATAAAAATTGTTAAGGTATCCTGTATGATTTGTGTACTCCATCTTTCATTTCAGCTACAGGTCAGAGCTGGTAAGAATATTTTTAAGTGTCCCCTCTCTTGAGATGACTTAAAACTTAAAAATATTTGAACAACACCTTATAAGGATTGTCCTTATAAGGAGTTCCCTCTCTCTGGGGGTCATCCCCCTCCATAAAAATTGTTGATATGCCTGAGTAATTCGGGGATGAAGCGCAGAGACATCGTAGCTGTAGGATGGGCCGGGAGCAATGGAAGGATTGAAGCAGTGAGCTTAAACTGTCTAACGACACGCGCCAAAAAATTTAAAAATCTGGTCCCCTCCTGTTCTCTTTCTTCTATCTCCTCCTCTTCTCTACTTTACTCTCTGTTCTCTTCCTTCTATCTTCTCATATGCTCTACTACTCCTTCTTCTATTTCTCTGTTCTCCCGTTCTCCATTTACTTTCTTACATCTCTTATTGCCTCCACTTGTGTTTCAATTTCTCATATATTTTCATTGCAATTCATATATGCAACCCAAATTACACCTGATATTTTTATATTTGAGAAAAATGCCTTCTATACCTGAGATTCGATCCGTGTCTGCTTGCATGCCAGCAGGTGCACGTCTCCACTCGACCACCGAGTGTTTTTGCTATTGTTATTTGATTCTTCTATTTATGTTTCTACTTTTATTATGTTTTTAAAAACAACAAGACAATTCAAACAACAGTTAGTTATGTTATACCCGCAGCACACATAAAATTTATATGCCATATTATTCAAATCTGAAATCGACAAAGAGGATAGCACAAAGAAATATGAATGAGATTTTAATTTTACACTGGGTTTTATTGACGACATTTAACAATAGGTACACATTTTTTAAATAAAAAAATATCGACAGCTAGCAAATTCTGCCGCAGTGAAGACTTGCCTTAAAATCCGCGCATCTCCAGAACTTCCGCTAAAAATATTGCAAACTCCATTTGAGCACTCACAAACTTCCTCGCTGAACGCCAGCGTCAACTTGCAGGATTAAATTATTAATCCAACTTATTATTATGTACGAGAAAATAATCGTGTGTCAACGGACATACACGCGCAAAGGAAAACCGAAACTTAATCCGCAATTGATAAACACCCAACGCGTGCAATCAAACTTTTAAACCCCGGTCACGTCCGATTCTAGTATATGCTGCCGACTGTTTATCGAATATAAATTTACTTAATTATGATCTGAAAAAGCAAGACAAGTCGCAATGAACACGCGCGATTCACCCAATGGCCGGAATGGAACTGCGTGTGCAGCGAACTGCACACACGACAACACGAGGTCACTATCAGTATTGCGCGATACGTTCGCTAAACGTAACAAATAAACTGTTTACAAACAAGCATCGCACGGATACCTAAACTATGAATGCATAGCAGCGCTAGTTTTGGTACTGCAAGCGCACTCGGCAAAATTTTTACGGCACCCCACCTGGAAATCATTCTGCTTGCGCAGCAAATTAACTTAGCTGAAAACGCACCGAATACATTTGACCACCGGCGAAATTCTAGCGGATCATATACATTACATTGATTGCGAATGATATAACTCGGACTCTTCACCTCTTACTCTAGCTTACATAACCGTAATCTGTCTATCTCTGTTGCTGGAACTGACAATAAAGAAATGACAATCAATGTGATGTACATGATTAACTTACCCATATTCTACGTCAACTTTTTAAAAATACTCTGTAAGCAATAAATCAAAATTTGAATCAATAAGTCAGTAACAAAATTTTATTAGCTATAACAAATCACGCCACATAAATGAAAGTATTAATGTCATCATCGTCCCGACGCATATACTTGTGTTCTATAAGCCATTCGAGTTGTTCCTTAATCATTTTTTTCGTAGGTAGGAACATGTTCTTCAAAATGTCCACCAGTTCCGTCTGAAGCGCTGCATTTGTTATGCGCTTTCGCATTTTCAGAATTTTAATTATAGCTTCCTGTGTTCGCAATATTCGTAGTTGAACTATTGATTGGTTGTCTTCCATCTGCGACCTCTCCGTGCTTAATTGTAGTCTTCCGATAAGATTAAACTAAATACACAAAATTATGTAGTAATATTATATCATATAAGAAAAAGAAAAGAAGAAAATAATATATAAGTAACCTAAATATACCTTTCCGCGTTTTTGAAGTTTGCCATTCTTCACAAGTGAAAACTCCTGATTAATCCAAAACAGCGTATTCTCGCTAAAATCTTTAGGAGCACTCACTGTTGGCGAGAAGAGCAGCAATTGCCGCTTCAGTTTAGGAAATGCTACCAACGACCAAAGCGTTCTACGTAACTCAGCGTCTGGAAGTTCTGTAGCAAGCCTGAGATTTTCATAACTGACCTTTTCCAGCGGCCGCTGATTCCACGCAAACAGCACAGCCATTTGGAACGTCGTCACGTCCACATCAAACTTGCCAACTTCGTTCGTAAACGTGATTGTTCCATTGCTCATATGATGATACCTTATAATGATAATATATAATTATATGTACATTAATAAAAACATATTTAAATACATACCATTGCAATTTCCTTCCTGAATGTTTCTTCTTGTAGAATTCCTCCACCTCGGGTATGTAATCTTCTAACTCCACCGGAAGACTAACAGTGACGCGCTCAGAACCACGCGCCCATGCGCCAGCGTTGAGAATTTTTATATTTATTGCATCGTGGCGTGCAGTCGACATTCGGAAGACAGAGTTCAAATCCTCACTCACCTTGATATCTTGGAACATCCTCGCTAGCTTATTTACGTAATCAGCGGGCATTCCTACTTCCCGTAACCATTCCACCATGTCTTCTTCTTTTTCACTATCCGCACTAATGAAAAATATGAATAATTTAATAAACAAGTTTTACTAACAATCAATATTACTATGAATTACCTCGCATCCAAAATCAGTCTTCTAGTTAGATGTGCCTTGTGATACCGCATAAATACATCCTTATTAGACACATACTTTAATACTAGTAGCACGTCTCTGAGCCGAGATTCGATCTCCTCTGAAGTAAGCCTTTTCGAGAGCGGCGTCCGCCTTAACAGCATATCGCAATAATTTGCAAGCAACTCCGGACATTTACTCTCGGGCGCCACTGATTTTGGGCCCAGATTCTTGCCGGTGTTCAGTTCCAGTCGAAAAACATTCGTATCATTCACAACTGACTTGAACGCCTTGTCTCGAGCAGTTAAAAATCTCGGATCGTCCGAGAATGCTTCGTGTACAAGATTGCTAAACTTACGAAACAAGTCCAGTAGACGCTCTACGTACTTCTCGGAGTCTTGTGTGATAATTTCAGCGGCGGCTTCCATATCCGCCAATCCAGCGGCGGTGATATGTTCCTCCAGTTCTTGCAATACGGGTGGCACGCCTTCAGGGACACGTTCCAACAGTCTGAACATCAACTGCAAACGATCTGTTTCCCCGGCTTTTATCAAAGGTGCGCATTCAGCGAGTAGAATCGGCAGACTATTGCCTACCAGCACTTTTACACAACATTGAATAACTGCGTTACTGCCCGCTTCAAGATAGCGCTGTGCTCTGGCTTCTTCTTCTCGCAGTTTTAAATCTGCGTAGCGCATATAAGATTGAACGCCGTTGTGATCTAAGTGCTCAGGTGCCTTTACCCGATAGAACATTTCCGTGCTTTTTATATAAGCCGCTTCGAAATTATCTCTGTAAATTTGCATTTTGTCCTCGGTGTTTGAGCAGAGATTAACGTACGATTCTCGAACACCGATTACTAGTTGCGAGTCGAATGCTTCACCGTTACGCTCTGCATGCACCAACTTCATAGCACTATCCTGTAACCTGTGTTTAATGTCACGAAAGATGCTCTCATTCCATGAATCTAACATTAATTTCCTCACTATACTCTCATCACTTGCACCCTTTTTACTGCTTGTACTAGATGTTGCTGCACTGGGCTTTGCCTTAAACATCATAATCTAAAATTAGACTAAAACACATCAAAACCTAACTCCTACCTGTAATGATGTCTCAAGTTGTCTGAAAGGTGTTGGCAGATAGTTGCACTGAGTGAAAAACTTCCTCCATTCAGCAATGTATGCTTTCAGGAGTGCCTGCTCCTCGCGATGTGCTAACACACGCGCCTGTGCTTCCTTGATAAATTGAACTATGTCCTCCTGGAGGCTGTCGCGCAGCTTGGCTGCACCTTTTTCATCCCACAGACACACCAGATGCACATCATAAAACAGCTCTTGCCACTCGCCGGGCGAAACCGGCTCCTGTTTGAGCAGCTTGAGGACGATTGGCCGCATCGTTGGCCATTTGTCCTCGAATTTTAACTGGCCTTTTTCCTTAAAAACCGCACAAAAAACTCGTTACGTGAAAATGTTTACTTGAATTTTTGGTAGAGTGTACCTTCAACATGTTTGCCTCCTTGGGTGAGTGATTAAAGTCTAAGTGAGCCGAGAGCGTCCGTGCAGCATTGACGGCGATGGTGATTGATTAATCTCATGCATAAGTCATGATTTGGGCAATTATCATAGTTTGGCCCGTGCGGATGCTATGATTTCGTAGAAACCTCGGACTGTATTTGTGTTTTGCAATAAACTTTGGTTACGAATCTGACAGCGTCGGATGACATTCAAGTTTGGAAACATTTAAGGTGGTTGAACCGCCTAGTACGCTATTTCCACATTAGATGACGACAGATCTCCTTTAAAAAACTTCTTGAATCTTTTGTTTCAGTTCATACAAAAAATAAATAACATTTGTTTTTGGTATATAACTAAAAAAACCTTATAAAAAAATTCGCTTTAGAACGAAAAATAAGCGCTACTATATTATTCAGAGGAAAATGATGTTGTAACGGTTGCCTACTTCGGGCTTTCACTAACTTCTAACCTACCCATGTTTTTACACTTTTGCCGTTACAAAAACAGTATCGGTATTCTCGTGCGATTTGCTATTTTCAATATTTTAACGGCACAATGAATATCAAGACTGAATTAGAAGGAACTGCACATCTTTTAGATCAGTTGGATAGTAAGTAAAAACAAAACACTGTCTGTCAACTAGTTACAACCAAAAATATTTGCACTTCTTTTTTTATAGAAAAACTAATGGTATTATTGAGGGATGGTCGCACATTAATAGGCTATTTGCGCAGCGTTGATCAATTCGCCAACTTAGTTCTACACAGAACCATAGAAAGAATTCATGTTGGCAAAGAATATGGTGATATTCCAAGAGGAGTTTTTATTGTCAGAGGAGAAAATGTAGTACTATTGGGTGAAATTGTAAGTGCATTTTATTCTTCTTACATTATTGTTTCTGTTATCTGACAGAAATTATTTATGCAGGATGAGGAAAGAGAAGCAGGACTGCCTTTACAAGAAGTGTCTGTAGATGACATCCTGGATGCACAAAGAAAAGAACAGGAACAGAAACAAGAACAACAAAAACTCCTCTCAAACGCGTTAAAAGAAAGAGGCCTGCAAATGATGCAAGACCTAACGCATGACGATTTGTTTTAGAATATATAAGTTTATAGATTATTTTCTGTTACATAACTTAAAAATACTGTAATATGATCACCATACTCTTGGATCGGTACCGCGTCCGTTTGATTGTTTTATGTTACAATATACGCTCCAAGAATTGAGATAATTCGCGCTTCGATTAAAAGATTTTCTATAACTATGTACACTTACTCCTAAAACGAAGTTTCGTACACGATGGGCTCGCCCTGCTCGTTATACTGCTTCGGTTTTAGCACCAATTGTTTCTCCTCTTCCATCGAGCTGTCCGGCACGTGCCCGTCCATGCATTGTAATAGCGACGCCGTCATTTTGCTAGCGCTGATGTCTTTGAAGTTGGACGTAGAGCTGTAGTCATCGGTGCGGCTGGAAAAGGAGAGATCGGTGGGCGAGGCGCTCAATAAACTGCGACTTTGTAGGTACTGGCGGAAGTTACTCGCAAGAGAGCCGTCATCCTGCGACGTCGCCATGTCGGATTGGATATTCTCGTCTGTCTCTTCGGCGAGTTTATCCATTAGGTTCGGCTTATCAAACGCAGCGAGTGTGTTAATATTTGTGCCAGAAACGACGACCACTGGTTTTCGGCTACGCGGTGTCATCATTGTCTCCTAAGCGAAAAAAAAACATATTCAAATTGGCCGCCATAATTTTGCCAAACAAATTGGCAGCACATATAAATATACACATAAATAAAAGAATTTAAATTAAGCAAGGTAAGTTTTTGCATAAAAACAATGATTAGTAAAAGCGTTTGCATTCGTATTAGTCGACTCACTTGCATAGCTCTGCACATGCGCTGCGTGGACCTCGTGATGGGCGACATACTCTTCCTGTCCTGGTCCTCAGGCGTAAACACAATCTCGGGAATATCGCGCAAAGGTACACATGCGGGCGTACTGGTCAAGTAAGTATTGCGCAGAGCATCATCAGTGCTCAATTCAGGCTCGCTTAAACTGCGCTTGATGCTGTCAGAGTTGGTGTGTACAGTCTGTCCGTCAGTTTCGTTGTTGGTCAGATTCTCCGTGCTCAGATTGGACTTGCGCAACTTTTTCGCAAGAGTCTCGTCAGTACTTGCGTCCGAGGAATTGTCACAGTTGCCACAAAATAAGCGTCCGCGTGCCGATCCGTTCGATTGGGGACTCTATTGTGCGCGTAATTGATTGTTAAACAAACAACAAACACGAGCGTAACGGTAAAAGAGAAACAAAAAACAATCAGAGGACAAAGCAAAGATTTTCACTTGCGATGCAGACAATCACAGATTAAAAACATGCTGAATTTGTTAAAATTATTACTTACATTGAGGATTTCTTCGCTGGAGGAACGCATTTGGATAAAGCCGTTTTTCTTCACGCTTTTGATGAGGCCCTTTTGAAAAAGGTGTTTCTTAATGGAATCACCCAAACCTTTGTTTTTCTGTACACCGCTGCGGATGACTTGCAACGGTGTGCCGTGGCCATTCTCCTTATTAAATTGTTTAACAAGTTTACGTTTCTTTGATGATTCTGGTAAACTTTGAATATGGGCATATAATTGAGCAAGTGCCGTTTCAGTCGGATTCGATTGGTTTTCTTTGGCGGTGCGTTCGTGATCAACGAAACTAAATACCGTATTCGCCGTGTCGCTAATTGATTCATTGAAACATTTATTCGGCGAGAGAGCTTTACGTCTATCTCGTTCTTGAATGTAAGTTCTGATATCAACCGCGAGTTTCGGAGGAATTTCAAACAGTTGAGTCGCGTTTTTGATCATAAACGAAATAATGCCCGAAAGCGTTTGGGAATTTAAATGCAAAGTTTCGGGCGAGAGTTTTCTCGGACAAAGAAGATGCGGTGTGAAGAGGGTTGCCAGATTGTCGGCAGACATTTTGTTGTGGCCCTCGTATGATGCTGTTAAATGAAGTAATTCTAAAACATCTTTGAGTAAGACACGATTTTCTGATGGGAGCATCAGTAAAAGTAACTGGAGTGCTTGTAGAAGGCGTTCTTCCTGGGCTGGTGTGCCTAATTCACACAAATCTGTAAAATGTTTAGTTTAAAAGAATTAAATACACCTTAGTAAAACTTAGAATTAAAATGTACAAACCTGATATTTGACAGTAAGCAGGATAATGTGCTTCTGACAATAATGGTTCAGGCAATTCAGCTAGAAAACCTTTCAGAACTGAAGCACAATCATGAACACTATATGTACCCTCCTCTAAACATAGTGTAGTGCCTTGATTTAATAAACTTCTTAAATCATGTTGTCTATTTAAAGAACCAGTTCTTCTGAATACACCTTCTTTGCAAATATCTAAAATACAATTTAATTATTAAATAATTTAAAGTCATTAATTGCACTTATTCACATACTTGGTTCCCTTTTTAAAAATTCTATCAACTGATACACTTGACAAATGCCTTCATGAGTCAATGGAGCACCTTCCATGATGCCTCTGCATTTTGACTTCTTGAATGGTACTAGGTTCCACTTCTTCATCTTGGTTTTATCCACAAATGCATCATTCCTAATTCATTAAATTCATAAATTCATTGTATTGTGGCTTGAATTAAATTCTGATCAACTTACTCATCTGTTGTTAAATCCAGTACAAATGACAAGTGCATTCTCACCAAGATTATGAATTGCTCTAGGTTTTCACGTCGTAACTTCTCCGCAAATTGTGCGTCGGTTAAAGGGGCGACGTTAGCCATGCTGAACAATTCCCTTTGTAAGGATTGTTCAGCGAAGCCAGTAAGGCCGGATGTAAGCACTATGATTTAGGTTATATAGAAAACACCACTCACAACACTTAAACGCGGGTTAAAGAATGCCATTGTAGCCGCATTACACGTATGTTAATATTATCTATGCGTACGATCAATTAAAAACACTTGCTACACTTATTTTACGGTGTTAAATTCATTCCAAACACAGTGCTTGTTGCACTTGCAATCAACAGTTATTTTCTGTTACGATTTGATTTGATTTTGACAGCTGCACATTGAAAGAATCTGCTTTACCGACTCACTCGCAATGATTAAAATGAAAGAAAGAAACAAAATAAACTCTCTTGTAGTTGAGTATAATACAAATCTATAACTTTTTACGTAATATTTTCATATTATATAGATAAAAATTGATAATTTGGTTTCTTTAGTTTAATTTCTGACACAGTACGACACCTAGTGTGAATTTTAATAGTTTACGTTTACTGAATTTATGTGTACTCCCCTGGATTGAGGATTCTATAACAATAACAATAACTATAAAAAAACTGAAAAATGGAATACCATAAAACTGAGATTGATGCAGTGCCCGTGACTAAAGAACTTTATTCACGGCTTTGGCTGTTTAAGTTTAAAGTACCACTTTTTGTATCTCAAAACCTTTGAACAACAGGCGCTTTAAAGGTAGAAGTATAAGTTTCAATATACTTCATTATAATTGTTGCTTTTTTTATTAATGACACCGGGCTACAATCCACAATTGTAACATAGAAACAGGTACCTCTAAAATATATATGTTTATACTATGTACACAATCAATAATAATAGAAATGTATGTATAATAAAACTATATGCATAATTAATAATTAAACTTGTTTGCAAAATAAATACTATAATAAAAGAGGTTCATCGTCGTGTGCTTTCGCAAATTCATCCGACGTCTTCATTTATCTAATAAATCATTCGACATACCTAAAATACCGTTGGCGCAACTTCCGCGTTCGACAGTTTGTTATTACTTTACAATAAAACTAAGTGATGTACAGAGAAGATTTACAAAGAACAACTAATAATACAACTCGAATGTACACGCCGGACGAATCACATTCATCACATTCGCCAGTCAACTAATACAACTCAGCTTCGAAGCAATCAATATTCGTCATCATCAATTAATAAATCAATAAATAATTTTACATTTATAAAAATATTTTATATACAAATTTATACTTATTTGTAATTAATTTAAGAATAAATTTAAACGCATCATTTCTCCACACATTTGACACTCGCATCATCCCCCAATCAATAATTTTCCCAACATATTCAAGGTCGACTTTTTACTTTTTCGAAGCTACTATTTCCTGCATGCATAAATGACTTAAGTTAGATACTTAGTTTGTTATCAAAATTTTGATTATGTCTGTGTAGGTATCAGTTATCATCTAGTGTCGATATTTATATTATGTACATTTAATGACTATCGCATCAATGTGAAATTTTGGATTAAGTACGAGCACGAACAGAAAAAGCATTGCATTTTTACTGGCTGCATGGCATGGCTTAGCGATATCGGTTACTATTTTATGTTATCATGTAATCGTAGCACAAATAATGGCGCAATTTACACGTTTTGATTCGCTTAATAAAGTGATACTAAAATATGTTTGCAATTCTTCTGTAATATGAATATTTCTTGTTTAATTATTATTGTAGAGTGTATTCCTGTACTGTACTTCCGGTTAGGTCTATTAGTGTGAATGTATTTGCATCGGCTGATTGTGCTGGTGGTTCGGATCGAATAAAACAGGAAAAGAATGCAACTCCATTATTTATCACAGTGTAAACATGTTCGTGGATTCAATGGAATGCAAAATTTAATTAAACAATTGATAATTCATGCTGCAGTTACTTCATTTGTTTGTTATTGTCGAATATTGTTTGTGTTCGTCACAATGACTAGTTTAATTCGTGGATAATGATAGTATTTTTTATAATGTTTGGATAATTACTTGTTTGCACATCTATAAATTCCAATTAACAGATTCTCTATGGAAAAATCGACAATAATCAACGTAATATGTTTGCATTTTCTTGTTTTATACGTTTTTGTGTTCATTGTTTCGATTGCGTTCATTCAACGCTAAATAACTTTACTTTTATATGAAAGCCCAAACATTTTACATCCAAATTTTGTAGTGTTCCAGTCACTCGAGGAAATTTCCAATGGTAGCTGATGAGCAAAAATCTGTCAAAGTTAAAATACAAAGTATACCGATGAATCTTCACTCATGAGCTGAAAATAGTGTTTGTTCCCTCGTGAGACGCCATCTTGAACAACCTCATAGTAATGTAGTTTAGTTTTGTTAATCGTAAATTGTATATCTTCATAGTTGTTCAAATATTAAATGCTACAAATGTAATAAAACTGTCCATTTATGGCTTATCCTAATTGATTTTCCTAAATTCTGTGATGCAATGCATTTGACGCCTTTCTTTTAAAATGTATATTCAAATTTCTTAAAAATCTGGCGTTAGCTTAACGTCATCTTTGGTAATCATGATTTAGTTGTATATTAGGGGGTGATTAAATGTGTTTCGTAATTTTCACTTAAATCGTGTTGGTCAATTTCATGTCTGCCGACTACTACGCAATCGTCCCGCTTTCTTCTTGTCTTCATTCTTGTTCTTTACATCAACTGCTTTACTTTCTGAATGTGTTGATTCCACATCAGAAATTGGTTTGTCTTCATTTGATATCCGATCCAGTTCGGCCATGGCTTCTTGAATAGCTTTCTCCAGCTGCGCATTCAACTTACGCCCCCTATAAGAAAAAAAAACAATAAGTTATAAACCTATTTATTATATTTGGGAATGATTATAAACTGCAGTTTTATTTGCATAAATTTAATTGGTGTGGCTTTAGCTTTATTTTGATCAAACTCACGTCCTGGACTTCTTGCTCGCTCGATGATGAGCATCTAAGCCCTCGGTGAGTGTCTGCAATACACTGGGATCAATGTCGGTGAGGGCCCTGTCGCCGCCGCCGAACCACCGGACGGTGACCGCGTCGCGGCTTTTCACCGCCATCAGTTTACCAGGCCATGCCGGACAGCCTTTCGCCGGGCCCCATACCAGGTCACCCTCGACAAATACATTCTTTTGTAGGCCCGTCATGTCTGTCGAAACAGTGCGATTTGAATCAATTTTGTAAGCATCCTATGATGGTGCCATGTGAGAAGCCAATTTTGAAAGCCGGTCCAAAGCAGATGTTTGATGATGAAACTTTTTGTAATGCTGTTTAAGGTGATAGATTGAAAACAAAAACCACACGGGAAGTGAATGAGGTTGAGAGGAGCACAATACAGACACCAGGTTGATTTTAGTTAGCCACACCAAGTAAATTTTCACACACACGCAGATCATTTTGAACTGAATTCGTTTCAGGCAATTGATCCAGAAATTGTTTGCAGAAGAAAGCCAAAAACCGCTGTAAAACCCTTTTTGTCATATGTACCCAATGCGAATTGATGCTTATTTGTGAATATTAATAATGTTGATGGCGTTTGAGTGATGATTGAAGCATTTTATTACACACGCCTGATGTCCACTTACCGTGATGATCGTCGTCATCGAACAATGAACGAGAATGACGTGTTTCCATTACGATCAAAGTGTCACTATGTTTTCTTTTCGGTTTTTCAAAGTTGCGACTGCTCACTACATTGTTTTCATGCCCTTTGTGCATTCCATCTGAAAGGAAATGCATCATTGTTGAAGATTCCGCATAGGCAACTCGTGTGGGTGTAGTTTTTCGAAGATGGGAGTTTAGAGCGTTGATATCAGTAAACTCCATCTTGGAACCGTTTCGCCATATTGTCGAGTCGAGATCTTGACTTGCCATTTCCGCGGAATCCGGCTCACTGCTTGATATGCAATGTACCATTGCCTATAAAAGTAAAAAAAGTTTAAAACATTATAATTTTAATTAATTGTAATTCACTACCAACCATTGTTGATGAACAATTTGAAGGTGCTGGCGATAATCCGTCATCAGTGCTGCCAGTATGAGTGGTGGTGTCAGCGGTAGGAGGACTTTGGCCACCTGCAGCCAAAGGACTCAGAGTTGTTGTATCCGGAGGGCTTCCAGCACTAGTACTGCTTGTATTGGTTTGGCAGAATGTAGTCACGCTATGTGCATGCCCATTAACCGCTGTTTGAGTGGACACACTATTCCGATAGTTGATTTGTTGCTGTAAAGGACTTTGCCGTTGTTGCACCAGCACTGTCTGTATGTTTTGCTTATCCGAAGATATTACAAAACCTTCTACGTTTTGCTGCACATTTTGTTGGACACTTTGCTGTAGACTTTGAACATTGTGTTGTTGTGGTACATGTGGTTGTGGGGTGCGTTGCGTGTGGCCATGTGATTGCGAACTGTTACTTTGATTCGACAGCATTGTGGTTTGCTGTTGGACAATAGTAGTGTTTTGTTGCACATAGGTGGTGTTCTGTTGATTGGTGGTAGATTGACTTGCAGCTGCAAGATTTGCGGGTACCATCAATGTTTGTCCGCAAGTAAGAAATTCCGGCTGTTGTACGGACTGTTGGACCGTGGTTGGACGAATTTGAGGACTGAAAGTGACCTGGAATATAATCAAATATAAAAACCGCATTGATATAATTTAATAGAGTAGTACCTGTTGTCCAGGACTGACACTAGCAACCAAAGGACTCAGCTGTCCGTTAAATTGAGCCACAAATTGGCCACCTCCAGTTGGGCTGAGAAACTGGGCACCAGGGCTATGCTGCTGTTGAATTATTTTCCTTGTGGCCGAAGAACCATGCCACCTGGTAATATACTCTGACCATTTGTGGAACCCACAGTAAACATTGGATTGTTAGTTTGAACAGGCGTAAGAACATTCTGTCCGTTCACGTTTTGCAGCTGTAATTGCATACCAATGTTGGTATCTTGTACAATAGTGGCGGTACCATCCGCGTTCATTACCATTCCAGCGAGATTCGTTGGTAGAACAAACTGTTGTATCGTCGGGAAATTCTGTACCATCCCTTGTGCCAAATTTACTGGTTGTAATAAATTAATGGGTTGTGACTGGGAGTTGATAATCTGCGCAGTGTTCGGCATCTGCCCATTCATAACAAATTGAGGGGCACCACCCGCTTTACCAGGAACTATCGTCAAGGCCTGCATAACAGGTGTGGCTGTCAATCCCTGAGGACTATGCATTTGAATCTGTTGCGGGAAACCAACCACGCCTTGATTTTGTTGCGCCGCTGCTATTTGCAGCATAGAAGCCACAGTTGGAGTAGAAACCTTCCGCTTTTTGCCTTTCTTGTTCTTCTCGGGGCTCAGAAGACTAGGTTGCAGTTGTTGTTGAATGACATTACCAGTAACAAGCTGCGGTTGCAGTTGTAATTGGTTCATACCATCCATAGTCATGGTGACACCAGGTTGCAGCACAAATTGCCCTGGAAGTGCATTCACTAAAACAGTTTGCTGACCCAGGACCTGCTGTGCAACAGCTGGTATCATCTGAGTGACAGAGGCGGTAACATTCGTAATCATTGGGCTAACAGATATAGGTGGCATGGATGTTTGTATTTTTGGTGGAGGCGGCGGCATTTGTTGTTGAGGTTGTTGTTGATGAGCATGCTGAGCATTCGTTGTAGCCATAATCAATTGTCCACCTGAAGATACCAAAATATGCCCAGGCGGCAAACCCTTCTGTACAACTTGAGGAGATAAACCTTGCAAACTAATTGTAGAATTCTGTGACTGCGGTAGTTTTATACTGCTCACGATATTCTGTACCATTTCCAACGGGGAACGTGTTGCAGATTGCTGTAATCCCGCTGGTGACGGATTCGATATCGAAACAGTAGCAGTATTTGCTTTTCCAGCCAAAACAGAAGTGATGGTATTACTTCCCACAGTTCTACCACTCGCCATAGTCGTAACAACACCTCGTCCATTCTGTAGACTAGTCGAAAACTGCACCTGTGGATGTGTATGAGACTGCTCCACATAAAACGCATCCTGTGATGGTGATCCAGATGTACCAGAAGCCCCATCATCGCCTTCCAAAGCAATCGGGCTTACATTACTGGTACTGACAGTTCCACCTTGAATCGGTCTCGAATCCGGTGAGTTCTTTTCCATATAATTGGAAGACGTAACCGGATCAGGTGTACTCGGTTGACTACCCGCTGAATTAACACTAACGCGTCCATTGCCGATAATATTCGTTGGCGAGGGCTGATGATCACAGTTCGTGCACTTGGGTGGAGCAATTAAAGCGCTTGCACTATCAGGATTCTGCGTTGGATTATACACGTTGGTCTTCACATTGGCCATCTGCGGTTGTCTGTATGGTTTAATGTTGCTAGGCAACGGCACTCCTGATGTTGGTGGTGTACCAGACTGTGAAGAAGACTGAGGGCTGTTACACACAAAACTGTTAACACCCGTTTGTCGATTAATTGTGTTATTTAAAAGCGCAGTCTGTTGTGCAAGATAACCGCTCGGATCTTCTAAGAAGGAAGGACTTGAACTTTCAGACGTGATCTGCACCACCCGCGAATTAGTTTGGTTTATATTCGGAGATGGAGACTGCTCAACATAACGCTTCTTCACTTTGGTTTTCATTTTCTTTCGTTGAACTTCATCGGGCCAAACTTGAATTTGTACCTGAGTTGGTTGTCCTTGCATCAGCTGATTATTAACAGCCTGTGGTTGGTGTTGATGTAAAGGTGGTACCCGTTGATCAAAAACATTTTGTCCAGCGGGCGAAACAGGCGCATTGGGACTGGGGAATGAATAGGTATTCGATTCCAAACTTTTTGTGGTTGAGGTTGTAATTGCAGTTGTTGCTGGTGGTGTTGCTGCTGTTGTTGTTGTACTAAATGCGGATGTTGTTGTACCTGTAGTTGAGGTCTGAAGCCATTCGGTACAATATGTCGTACCGCCTGTGGAGGTATACCCTGATACACTTGTCCATGGTGCACATAGTTCTGAACCTTTTCAGTTTTGATCGGAGCAGGTGAGGTGGATATACTGACTGGAATCATAACAGGCCGACCGGGACCACTCGGTTCGCTAGGTTGGCCATTGATAAACACACGTTGCTGACCCGCAGCTACTAAATTTCCAGTCGGGATCAAAACCTGCCCATTGGAACTGATAATTTGTCGCAACGGCTGCGGGTGTGATATGTTCTGCTGATTCTGTGCCGAGAGAATCATCTGATCCGTAACTAGAGGTGAATTCAAACGCGCATCAGCTGTATTTGGATTCACATCGGGTTGCTGCTGTTGTTGTTGTTGTTGCTGAGCATTTTGGTAGAAAATTTGTTGTTGACTACTGATTAGACCTTGTGATGTGAGGTAACGTTGCGCCAGAATCTGCAAAAAATAAATTCAACATCAGACAATGAATTGTAAAAGTTTTGTAAAAATATAACATACCTGCTGTTGATTGGGCTGATTCGGCTGCTGTTGATAAACATTATCTTTGGTTATGAATTGCTGCGGTTGCGGCGCCGGCTGCGGTTGGTGTTGGAAGATTTGTAGCTGACTGTGGCCCACTTTGGGATTGATTTTCTCGCGCTGTGCGGCCAATATCTGCGAGACGGAAACACCGCCGGCCGCCAGCGGCGCGCTCAATTTCCGCTTCTTCTTTTTGATTACCATCGGATTGCAATCTGCAACAAGCGAATTTCGTTTTAGTCAATGTACACACACGCACACACATGCGCATAGTTAGCAGCCGTAACTCAATTGCACATTGACGATGTGCGCCGTAAATCGCGTGACCTGATTTTCTAAACTTAGTTTTATTGCTGTTGTTCCGCGCTCGGCGAAATTAAAATTCTCACAGCTCCGACGAATTGCAGAATTGGAACAGGCGGACGATGTAAAATTAAATAATAGCACATGCAGCGCATAAACTAATAATGTCGTTGGTGTCGAACGCATTGTTTCGAGAACGTAGGATTGCGCAAGACGAAATTAATTGGCTGTGGGACGATTTCGCAAGTGCACAGAGACAAACACACACAAAACGCACAAGCACCCTTCGTGTCAATAAAATACCTACATTTGAAATTCAATGCGCACATTTTATTACATATTTATTATGACAGGTTTATACGAAAGTGAGTACGAAATAATAACGTCGGCAGAGCGCATCAAGAAAAAAAAAAACATGCAAGCGCAGAAAAAATCATCATCGCTGGACGAGAAACGTAAAATATTGGTGAGAACAATGCAGCGCCGTTGGTGCGTCGTAAAATTTTACGATCTGCTCTTATTTGGACAAAACAGTCGCAGCGGCCGCACCGAGCAAAGGAATAAGTACGCGTCGTTTGCGCACATCGCTTCGATGACGATAATGAGAATCGACGATATCTTATTACAAAATCTCACAAACCAATAAATTTTTACCTTCTCGCCGAGAGCCAGAGAGACCACGCCGCCATTCCGTTATTAACTTTTATGTGTTGTCATTTTTTGCGATGTGATTTAATACTTTTCGACTTTGTTTGCATTACCATCGGACGCAGGTGGATTAATTCAATCAGTCAATTTGAATGTGGCTAATTCAATTTACCGCGTGCGATTGTAATTGCGATGATAAATTAATGGCGGCGCTCGACGCTCAAATTGCGATTGCTTCATGAAGCAGAAATAAAGAGCGCCGAACGCCGAGGTGGAGAACAAGACGGACGCGGGACGAGAAACACGGTCTATTAAATGCGACGTCGGTCATAAAGATCCGAGCAAATTAATGTGCAACGTTGTGTTTCATCGAGGTGCCTCGGTGGCTTTCAGAAGCCGCAAATGGCACCGCAACTACCCATACCCATGATGGTGCAAAAACAATGCAATCTTAAGACATTTCATTAAAACAAAACTCATCAAGAGAGAGTATCGTCGTTAATTTGTACACAATTAAATTGCATTTTGACATCACATCATAAACTACAAATTAAATAAATTATGTAACATTTTCATGTGTTTATGTACATAGAACCTATTCAACTTTGCTCATTATCTTCATAATCGTATAATCATCAACGCATTCAGTTTTGTAATTAATCCTGATATGAAAATTATGAATTACGCATTAATTAAACACGTTAGATGATAATTTCTTTGTAGAATACATTACAAAACACATTTTCAAATATAAAGTTTCACTTTAATTCACTTTATAGCTGAAAAAAAAAAAACTGCACATATTTAATTAGTTAATTAGTTTTACGAGGATATTTTATTTTACGGCGACATTATTGAGCGAAGATTAACATAATCACGTTCGCGTTTCGAATCTTTTAATCTACAATTAAACGTGTTTTATGTTCTTGCATCGACTTTCCAAAAGCGGTGCAATTGGCATTTAAAAAGTAAAAGATTTACTTTACTGTAATTCAAAAAACTGTTGTTTAAGATATAATTTTTTAATAAGAAGAAAAAAATGTAACAAATAGTTTTAATCTTAATATTCAAGTTATTACCCGTGTACTTAAGATAATTAAATTATCTTACACATGCAAACATACGAGCGAACAAAGAAAAACACCATCGTAACTTTGTAAGTAGGTACACACTCGGTACTCACGTGCTTGCGCACATATTTGATTACAACTTGCACAACTTGAAGTGACATGTAGAATCGTAGAAGATACTGAATTTTAAGATAGCAACTGTGTTTGTGTTTCTGTGCGTAAGCTCAGAATGTAGATACATAGCGAATAAACAAAGTAATGAAAGTTTCAAGTGAATTTCTATTTGTTAGCGTGATTTGTATACTATAATATAAAAATAAATCGGAAAATGTGTTGGTAGGCGCATAACTCAACAACGCCTAGACCAATTTGGCCAATTCTTTTTTTAAATGTTCGTTAAAGTCCAAGAATGGTTTTTACGGCGAGAAAAATTCGAGTAATTGCCGGGAAAACCCGAAAGACAGCCTTTTTCAATAGGATAAAATTTGGCATTGAGATTCAATCATAGTTATAGTTAAATAGTTGAATCCGAGATGGCGCGCTGAAGTGCATTATAAGCAATTCTTTATATAATTAATTTCTTTAAAATGAAATTACGAATCTTATTGATAGAATTGACACATACTATGTCTAGAACAAGAGAGTAAAAACGAATTACATTTTTATTAAACATCGCATAAAAAAATAAAACTAATACGATGCAATTAAGTTTCTCTAAGTACTCCTCCGATGAAGGTGAAATATGACTGGCGTTTGTATCTTAAGCGGCATTTAATTAATTAGCTCGCGCCAGCATAACTCTGCGCAAATTACCATATCTTTAGCAATTTTAACACAAGCGCACAATTATTACCGTCATTAAAGTTCTAGTGAGGTGCATAATGTGCACATGTGCACAGCCGCCGTATGACCACCATCAACGCCGAGAAAACAACCGAAAACATTAACATTAATCACGACAACAAAACAGTTACAGGTATTTCTAGTATTTATTAAACATCTACAGTTATGTACTCTTGTTCGTTTATGGTTTTATGCGACACAAAACATCAGCTATTTCACTGTGTGCAGCTAATGAATTTATTTTATGATCGGATTTGCTGCTCAATTAAAAATCCGACAAAGCGCAGTACGATTTATATAAATCGTCGTTTGCCATCTTGCGCGCATAAACCAAGAATAGAAATACGTGCGACTGGATGAAATAACAGGCTGTAAGTGTAGATATTTCCTACTTCAACGCATAATAGAATTGCATACCTCAAAAAGTGCCAATAAATTTCCTCCAGACGAAAGAGAAACACAAAGAAAAAAATTCTTTGTTATTTTATGAATACCTCAATATTTATTTTATAATTAATTTAATTTAAAATGTGTTTCCAAACGTGCTGATTGATTGTGATAATCAGCAAAAACGCAAACACAGCCGCTCATAATCCGCGCCGAGGAGCGCAGGACAAAACATCCGAGTTAATTAAACCTTATCAAGGCGCATTCGGCCCCGGCGTTGTTACCTGCTCGTGGACGCGGAATGTATAATTAAATTTCATACTTGCAATAAACTCGCTGGATCCCGCCGTTGACGGGCGGCAATTTTATAAATGCGCGCTGCGCTCGTTTGCACCCAACAAATGACCGCACTAAAATAATGCCGGCTGAACAGAGCGCTTCGATTTCACTTTGCCGAGCGCATTAAAACGTCGCGTCGCGCAGACACTCACCTATTGTACGCCCGCTTGTTTTATTACTATTGCGAAATGCTAGTTTTCAGACAAGCACGCAGCACGAAAAAAAAAGTGTTTGACGTTTGAACCCGAATAACTGCGCAGTGTAATCATATTCATTGCACCTATAAATTATATTCGCTGAAGTTTCTTCCGTGAAATTAATGCAAAATAGGCTATTTCACTGCCTTCAAATTATAGTTTCGCCATAAAAAGTATCATACGTCATTCTACAAAACTCAATCTATCCATATACAAAAAGAAAGAGAAATTCGTCAAGTTTTGAGCTCTACAGCTTTAAAAAAATTTAAAAGCAAATAAATGCATTTTAGCGCCATCTAGCACAAAATTCTACAAATAAAACTCTAATTGACACCCTATATAAATTTTTATCCCTAATTTCACCCCTTTCAAGTTATATTTCTGCGGTAAAAAATATCGTATATCATTTTCCACCACCAGATCTACCTCAACACCAAAATTTATCAAAATTCATCCAATAGTTTTTCCAGCAAAGCGTTTCAAACATACAAAAGTTACCCAATTAAAATATTAGTACAATTCACAGCCCTAGAGTTGTAATAATACTATTTGTATGGTATATTGAGACAGGATTACTAGACTCGAGTGATTGTAATCATATTACATCAACATTAGAGCATCATCCAATTAATGCCAACTGAATCTATTCATCATTGTGTTTGCGTCGCGTCGGCGCGGATTGCGCGATAATAAATCTCCCTTCGTGCGAGGCTGACGTTGTCGTCGCCCCTTATCAACACCTCGGGGTACGACCAAGCCCTTCTGCAACGACTCGTTAGACTGCCACAGTCGTAGTCATGATTGTAGCAAACTAATGCTGTTACAGGTGTAGAGCCTAATCGTACCAACCCGCACCCTCTTGTTTGTAATTTCGCATTATTCGATTAGGATTTCAATACAGCAATGTGTCTATAATCTCATAACACATAATAAAAGTTAATGCGTCTTAATAAAATCGTAAACAAAATGAAGATAAAGCTAAAAGCAGCGCGTTAATTACGCAGTCATAATTCAAAGACAAAACGTCCTTAACCTTAATTGCGTGCCGGCGGGCCGACGACGTGTTTCCATTTTAATTCGTCTGGAGGACGCGTCGCTTCTTATTAAAAATTTAACTCGCCTCGGGAGGCAGGCGCGCGCAGAGACGAGACCGCTACACCACGCTTGACGAGCAGCGCAGCACACTTTCATGCTCGACACGCACACACATTAAACTCTTACTTTTGTGCCCCAGTTTGCGCACGAAAACGCGATTACGATTCTTGTCATTTCGTCGCCGCCGCTTTTGTTCATGGCAATTGGCATTGTTTGCGTTAATTGGGTTCAACCTCCACGAAAAACCACCAAACGCCGTGTGCGGTAAAAGATTTCACTTTCACTTATTTACTGACACTGACAGTTCGTTAATTACATACCACACAATCGAAA